GGGCAGTCGCCTATTGCTCCTATTCCAGATAACCCACTGTACCCTGTCTGAAAGGAAGTAACGCTAGAGTAGACTCGCGAAAAGTGTATAAGACACTTTTAAGATCAACTAAATAGCTAAGCCCAAGGGAAGTCGTTCGGGGAGGCCCTCCCTAATTCCACAAGGGTGAGAAGAAACACACACGATAACGAAACGTTGAATCATGTAGAACTCGTAGGGTAAATGCTAAGCAAATTAGGAAGAATATGCAGTAAGCTAAGCGAAGAGGTAAGCAAGAGACACGTTAGACTATTACTACAAAAAAAAAACAAACAGGTTAGTACTAACTACAACTAAAAAAAAAACATCTAAAATCAAAACTGAATTGAAATAAAATAAATTAAAAAAACATGCAAAATAAAAATGAATTAAAAAAAATAATCTACAAATGACATGCAAAATAAAAAATTATTTGGAAAAAACGAACTTAAATATGCGTGCAAAATAGAGAAGTATTCTAACTACGGGATCTTCTTTATCTTCTCCCCCGTCGACCTGAAACAGATAGGGTGGTAACAGATTAATAACGAGCAAATAATATTTATTGTTATATATTCTCACCTTAGTTAATTGCAGAATGTTACGTTCCATTGGACTAGTATTGAAAGCAATCCAAATCCGGGAAAACAGTGGGGCCCAAGTAAATTCCCAGTTGCTCTCATTCATCGACGCAAGGCGAAACCGTCAACAGCAGATCAAGGATCAAGTCCAGGATAATTGTACTATTGTAATTGGTTGCCTCAATAGCATCGTTTGTTGTTCAATCTGTAGAAATAGGAAATAAAAATGAATTAATTACATTATTAAACAAACAAAATAAGAAATTTTAGAACAATGCACTTAAAAGCAAGTTAAATTTTAAAATGGCATACAATGTACCATTAATAGGCACAATAAACTTCTCTTATTTAATAAAAATCGTTCTTTTTTCCCTGATCTATTTCTCTGTGATAGTCTATAAAAGAAATTAAAATAAATGCTATATGGTTCCATACTGGAAAGAACGCAGTTGTATTTTAATTTTGTTGTTCTGCTTTTTAAAGGGTGCGTGTTGAAAGTAGGTTGTTTCTGGGACAATTTAATAGAAGTTTCCACAATATATTATATTTAATTAATGTTGTTCCTTACCAATTCATTATCACGTATCCTTCCTTTAGCAACAACAGTACACTTCCTCTGCCTCCAATGGGAAAAAAGGCACCTTCTTATATCCTTCGACTACCGCTACATCCTGGAGTGAAAAATGACTGATATGACGAATGCTCCATAATGCATGATATCCATAGTTTGTATAATATTCCTGTAAAACGAAATCTTATAAAACAGTATTCATTTAATAGTCAGTGCTTAATTTAGCTTCCTTGGTAAAAAGTGCATGTTGAATTAATAACGAGCAATTAATATTAATTGTTATGTATTCTCACCTTAGTTAACTGCACAATGTGACATTCTGAAGTGTATGCCATAGGATGTTGTCTCAGTGGGGTCCAAATATTCCAGTTGCTCTCAATCATCAGTCGAAAATCAACTGCATGATGTTGCAAGATGAGGATGTCAACAGCTAATCAGGAATCAAGTCCGGGAAAAGGATACCATTGTAGACTTTGGTTGATTCAGCAGTATGAAAATTAATTTCAGTTCTCCTTGATTCGTGGACCAGTCTGTGGATAAGAAAAGCCAATTAAGTAACTAAACTAATAAATAAACCAGATGCATATAAAATTAAATAAAGACGCTCTTAAAGTCCTTTTCCTAATCTTTTTTTTTTATATTAAAGTCAAAATATTCGTAAAGCCTTTATTAGAAAGAATAAACGGAACTCGGTGAATTCGATATAAAATGTGCTAACAAAACTCCTTACAACTACGTACGTACCAGGCACCGGAGACCCTGCTAATGACCAATGGGTTCGAGCTTGAGCTTTCAAGGATTTGCGATGGCTAATACATGAAGCAGTGATGACGTAGAAAATGCCACTCAGAAGCATCACATTAGGTTTCTGCGACAGTTCGCGGCAAATATTTCGTAATTTAACCAATCACTTTTTCAAAAATGCCTAATCATAATTCTAAAAATAATTGACTACAAGAGCGAGAGAAACAGTGAGAATCTTAATAATAGTCATTTCCTTTTGCTCGCTTGAATTACTTTCTAGAATATAAATTATTTAAGGTTGCGACAAAGGTATACGCTTTTGAAAAATAAAAATAAAAAAAGTTAAAAAGAAATAGGTAGGTATACTTTCAATTTAGAGTCGTTTAGTTGATTTTCTCTCAGGTGTAATCCAACATAAGATTTTGGAAAACTTAATGATGTAGTGAGAATAGAATTTTGAGAATTAAATCCCTGATAAGGAGTTAGCACTTTGTACCTGAAAGTAATATTACACGGTCTTATGGAGTTGCAATTTCGTGTATTTAGTTATAGTTATAAATAAATCAAAAGGAGTAAAGTTGTGGTTAAACGTTAAATTATTTATACGTTTAACTGATTCACAAACATAGAATCGTAACTACCCACTGCAGTAGCATAAATGTGGGCAGTATATTCATTGTGTGGTATAATATATGCACCAACTAAGAAAAAATTATTTGAATTTCATACCCTACGAGATTAATTGGGTGGTTGTTAAACTGTTGTTTGTAAATTTGAGACCTGAAGTGCTAGAGAACACGATAATTCATACTTAGGCTCTGTTGGAAATTATCAAAACGTGTTGAATTGTTTTTAAAAGTAAATCACTAGGGGCATTTTGTTTGCTAAAAGGTCAACTTATGTGTTGGAGGAAGGCCCATTACTAAAGAAAAATGTAAGTTTAAGATTAAATGAGCAAGACCAAGACTATATCAGCAAGACCAAAACCAAGACCAAATAAGCAAGATCAAGACCAGGATTAGAAGTATAAGACTAAGACCAAGACCAAGACCAAATAAGAAAGACCAAGACGAATACCAAGACTAGGCCGTCTTGCTCTGCTCAGTGTTACCTTCAAAGTCCTTGCAGAAGAATGCAACCTTAAGTAGCCATATCCTGAAAAGAAGAGTTTCAGTTTCAGAGGGTCATTTTTTTCATAAGGACCTAGCGAGGTCCTTTGCAAGGATATTGTCGATCAATCGACTTGAAATAATTTGAAAGGTAAACAACGGTTTCAAGTCGAAACTCTATATAACGACACATAAGGGACTAAACATTTTTCGGCGTTATAAAGAGTGGTCGTTAAATGGAGAGGAATAAAAGATATTATTTTACTATTCTATAATAATATGCATTTACTAATATAGTACACATTTTGCACTCGAACATTATTATTCATACATTGCGTATAGCCTGTTATCTTCGTCTGATGTTTTTTGCTGCTCCAATATTTTAATTGTATTTTGTTACGTATCTTACTCATATCTTGAGATACTGCTGGATCAATTTGATTATATAAAAAGTATTTTTTTAATAGTTTCGCTGCATCAAGTGCTTGTTTGATGCTTGGTGGAGGGACAGGATCGTCTTCTTCAACAACGAACACAGCTGCAGTTCTTATCTATTTCGGCAACTTAAAAAGTACTGCTTAATGATTTATAATGCCGCATTGTTGTCGTTAAATAGAGTGAGCGTGACGCTATATAGAGTGTAATATTGTATAGAAAACAATGTAAACCAACCAAGGTCAAGCAATTTCGACGTTTTAAGGAGTTTGTCGTTAAATCGAGTGACGTTATAAAGAGTTTACATTGTAGTTTATCCTAGAATGAATAGTTTTCGAACGGCAGTACTTCCTGATATGAGGATATACAACATTCAAGCTTAAATATTACAATGATTTAAAATTATCAACTATTATTGCCAAAAAAAGCCTTCAATTGCACCTACGCTTAGAAATTAATTGTGATCTAAAAATATAGATAAACAAAATAAAAAGTTTTAACTAATTTTTGAGTTCACGCATGTACAAATATACTGGACTAAATTTAGAAGAAATTCAAAAAAATAAATAGTTGGTTCCAATATTAAATATAATATTATTTACAAGAAAGATCATTACTGTCACGAAAAGCGTCGTTTTCTCACATTTCCAATAATATATCTCTGTCAAAATGGATTTGCATATCTTCATATATATCGCACGCTTTATCTACTTCCGATTTATGGTAGTGGTGTCAAAACCATAAATTTTCTTTGAAATATTGAGAACTATTTCTTCCGCCTGTCAAAGCCCTGTTCTTAAAAGCAGGAAGTGTGCGTTTGTATTTGTTATTGATGGTAGGAGCAGAATTTTTAATTTTGACCTATTCGATTTCGAACTAAACAATTGTAAAATAGTCATCATCGTAAGGTCGTCAGCCCTAAGACTGGTTGGACATGCATCTCCCCTCCTTTCTATCCTGAGCTAATTTCCCTAAAACTAGAAAATCCTACATCCTTAACTACTTGTGAAAAATAATCTAATCCGGGTCTACATTTACTCCTCTTAACTCCTGTATCTTCTTCAGATATGTCTCTGACCAACCCTTCATGTCCGAGAAGGTGTCCTACTAACCTATCTCGCCTACTTTTTTATTGACTTCTATAGAGGCCTTTGTTCTCCTATTTTTTCTAATACCTCTTCATTCGCCTGTAGCATCATATTTAGAACACTTAACTTTTTCCTTTCCGCCGCGCCCACTGTCTATGTTTCGCACCCGTACAGCGTCGCGCTCCAAACAAACACCTTTAACAATCTCTCTCGAATTTCTAAATTAATCGTTCGCAAGCTACTCCATCCGTCCTGACTTATCTCACTTCCTAGATACCTGAAATCAGTCACTTCTTCTAATTTATCGCCTCCTATCTTTACATTCGCTCTTTCCCTATTTTTTCTTTCCTGGCATACAGGTATTTTCACTTTACTTTTATTTATTTTCATACAACACTGTTTTGTCAATACCGCTTCCATTTTATTTAAAGCTATCTCTAACTGCTCCTTCCTAGATGCTAATATTGCTATATCATCTGCAAATTTAATAATACTAATCCTTTAACCCTGTATAGTGGCCCTACAGTTATATTGTCTTTAATGATATTGATCGCGTCTAAATATTAAATTAAAATTCTTTAACTCTCCAAAAAACTTTCTAGGCATTCTAAGGTATTCCAGTTTTTGTTTCAAATTAATTCTACAGTGTACCTGACGATTTTCCTTTGCAAGATCCTTAAAAGTTATTATTAATAAAAGTGTTTACAACAATGCATCTCCAGAAATTATACTTTGGCCTAAACCAGCTCGTTTCTTTCTAGTTTTGTCTTTAGTTTGAGTATGTTATACAACAGATATAATAATTCATACTTAGGCTCTGTTGGAAATTATCAAAACGTGTTGAATTGTTTTTAAAAGTAAATCACTAGGGGCATTTTGTTTGCTAAAAGGTCAACTTATGTGTTGGAGGAAGGCCCATTACTAAAGAAAAATGTAAGTTTAAGATTAAATGAGCAAGACCAAGACTATATCAGCAAGACCAAAACCAAGACCAAATAAGCAAGATCAAGACCAGGATTAGAAGTATAAGACTAAGACCAAGACCAAGACCNAAATTGCCATGATATTTATTTATATTAAGTTTTTAAAATTGTAGCTAATCCATATCCACAAACAGCGGTAATTTGTATATATATCTTTTCGAAATTTACAATGGACTACGACCAGTCCTTTTTAATAAAGTCGGCTGCCCTTTCGCCTACAAGAACAACAGTAGCAAAAGTATTTCCAGCCACATTCTCAGGAAAAACTGACGCATCAGCTACTCTAACATTAGAAGTTCCGTAAACCTTCAATTCAGGATTAACAACGGCCAATGTGTCAGATTGAGGTCCCATTTTACACGTTCCAACCAAATGGGCTTGGGCATCAGTGCTATATCTAGCCGCACATTCCCAGAAATCATCGGTACCAAATTGATAAAGAGTTGAGCAGTTTCCATGCGGATTCCGTACCAGTTCAGAGCCGTACTTTTCTTTTAAAATGTCGGCACTTCCTACTCTAATAGCCGTTCTTATTCCGGAAATAATAGCTTTAACATCGTAATCCTCTTCTAAATAGTTCGGCTGTATAATCAGTCTTCCACTTGGATCGTTGGAAGTCAGCTTAATATAACCTTTGCTCTTTGCTCTAAGCAAGGTTATATTAATGGTAAAAGTTCTGGTGTTATTGGGCTGATTGGGATCGGTCGGTGAATTGGCCGAACCATTACCATAAGCGCAATCCGCGACGTAACCACCAAAAGAAAACTGCATGTCCGGCCAATTTCGATCGCGGTTTTCAGACGTTGAAAACCGAGCACCAATTTGTGACACTCCTGTAGAGGACAAAGGACCGCCATGTTGCCTTAAATATTGATTTACGGAGTCCCTTGTCAGCAGATTTGTATCTAGGACTTTTGTCAAGTTGAACCGTACGTGTAATGAAACGTGGTTTTGAAAATTTTGACCGACACCTGGAAGGTCTCGAACCACAGTAACGTTCACATCTTCTAAATCAGCTCTTGGACCAATACCAGACAATAGAAGTAATTGAGGAGAACCGATAGTCCCACCTGATACTATTACTTCTTTTGTAACGCTGACATTGTAACGTCGACCGTTATAAGAAAATTCGACAGATTTGGCCACTGCTAATCCGTTTCTTTGAGAAAAATTAATTTTTGTTGCTGTAGAGTTCAACATTATATGAAGGTTTGGTCGGGCTCTTGCAGGACGAAGGTAAGCTCGAGCTGTGCTGTGACGAGTACCATTTCTAAATAAATGAACACACAAACAGGATAATTAGTCAATTTCAAAATGAGCCCTTTTGCGTTCAAGTGATTTGAGTCCTAACTCCTGACGATTGAGCGTGGAGTTTTTCATCCGACTAAAATTTATAAGGGACATGCCCCATATAGGGCGCGGGCTTCATGCCGATATAGAGATTTCCCCGTAAATTCCCCATGAAAATCCCACCACAAAAAGTGGCGATACTAAAATGAGGATTGCCTTATGGGTTTTTCATATGGGTCTTAAGAAACAAATCTAACACATGTACGAGGGTGGATTGATAAGTTTCCGGCCTGACCAAGAAAAACAAGGTTTTNACTACAAAACAGCCCAATAACACAATCTTACTTAAGACCAAACAAATTTCGCAAATAAGAAGAAACAAATCTAACACATGTATAAACTTACAATTAAATCTATTTTAGAGAGCTCGACGAAGAAAAAAATTTCGGTAAAATGAAAAAACTTATAATAACGATCCCCTTGCCCAATTATGTCGTCGTTTCAATGAAATCTTTTACATTTGCAACGAACCAACAAGTATAGTTTCTGATTTAAGACGACTGAAACCAAACGCATCAGGTCGAACAACAGTAAAACGATTGCAATTTAAAGTATTATTGACTACAAAACAGCCCAATAACACAATCTTACTTAAGACCAAACAAATTTCGCAAATAAGAAGAAACAAATCTAACACATGTATAAACTTACAATTAAATCTATTTTAGAGAGCTCGACGAAGAAAAAAATTTCGGTAAAATGAAAAAACTTATAATAACGATCCCCTTGCCCAATTATGTCGTCGTTTCAATGAAATCTTTTACATTTGCAACGAACCAACAAGTATAGTTTCTGATTTAAGACGACTGAAACCAAACGCATCAGGTCGAACAACAGTAAAACGATTGCAATTTAAAGTATTATTGACTACAAAACAGCCCAATAACACAATCTTACTTAAGACCAAACAAATTTCGCAAATAAGAAGAAACAAATCTAACACATGTATAAACTTACAATTAAATCTATTTTAGAGAGCTCGACGAAGAAAAAAATTTCGGTAAAATGAAAAAACTTATAATAACGATCCCCTTGCCCAATTATGTCGTCGTTTCAATGAAATCTTTTACATTTGCAACGAACCAACAAGTATAGTTTCTGATTTAAGACGACTGAAACCAAACGCATCAGGTCGAACAACAGTAAAACGATTGCAATTTAAAGTATTATTGACTACAAAACAGCCCAATAACACAATCTTACTTAAGACCAAACAAATTTCGCAAATAAGAAGAAACAAATCTAACACATGTATAAACTTACAATTAAATCTATTTTAGAGAGCTCGACGAAGAAAAAAATTTCGGTAAAATGAAAAAACTTATAATAACGATCCCCTTGCCCAATTATGTCGTCGTTTCAATGAAATCTTTTACATTTGCAACGAACCAACAAGTATAGTTTCTGATTTAAGACGACTGAAACCAAACGCATCAGGTCGAACAACAGTAAAACGATTGCAATTTAAAGTATTATTGACTACAAAACAGCCCAATAACACAATCTTACTTAAGACCAAACAAATTTCGCAAATAAGAAGAAACAAATCTAACACATGTATAAACTTACAATTAAATCTATTTTAGAGAGCTCGACGAAGAAAAAAATTTCGGTAAAATGAAAAAACTTATAATAACGATCCCCTTGCCCAATTATGTCGTCGTTTCAATGAAATCTTTTACATTTGCAACGAACCAACAAGTATAGTTTCTGATTTAAGACGACTGAAACCAAACGCATCAGGTCGAACAACAGTAAAACGATTGCAATTTAAAGTATTATTGACTACAAAACAGCCCAATAACACAATCTTACTTAAGACCAAACAAATTTCGCAAATAAGAAGAAACAAATCTAACACATGTATAAACTTACAATTAAATCTATTTTAGAGAGCTCGACGAAGAAAAAAATTTCGGTAAAATGAAAAAACTTATAATAACGATCCCCTTGCCCAATTATGTCGTCGTTTCAATGAAATCTTTTACATTTGCAACGAACCAACAAGTATAGTTTCTGATTTAAGACGACTGAAACCAAACGCATCAGGTCGAACAACAGTAAAACGATTGCAATTTAAAGTATTATTGACTACAAAACAGCCCAATAACACAATCTTACTTAAGACCAAACAAATTTCGCAAATAAGAAGAAACAAATCTAACACATGTATAAACTTACAATTAAATCTATTTTAGAGAGCTCGACGAAGAAAAAAATTTCGGTAAAATGAAAAAACTTATAATAACGATCCCCTTGCCCAATTATGTCGTCGTTTCAATGAAATCTTTTACATTTGCAACGAACCAACAAGTATAGTTTCTGATTTAAGACGACTGAAACCAAACGCATCAGGTCGAACAACAGTAAAACGATTGCAATTTAAAGTATTATTGACTACAAAACAGCCCAATAACACAATCTTACTTAAGACCAAACAAATTTCGCAAATAAGAAGAAACAAATCTAACACATGTATAAACTTACAATTAAATCTATTTTAGAGAGCTCGACGAAGAAAAAAATTTCGGTAAAATGAAAAAACTTATAATAACGATCCCCTTGCCCAATTATGTCGTCGTTTCAATGAAATCTTTTACATTTGCAACGAACCAACAAGTATAGTTTCTGATTTAAGACGACTGAAACCAAACGCATCAGGTCGAACAACAGTAAAACGATTGCAATTTAAAGTATTATTGACTACAAAACAGCCCAATAACACAATCTTACTTAAGACCAAACAAATTTCGCAAATAAGAAGAAACAAATCTAACACATGTATAAACTTACAATTAAATCTATTTTAGAGAGCTCGACGAAGAAAAAAATTTCGGTAAAATGAAAAAACTTATAATAACGATCCCCTTGCCCAATTATGTCGTCGTTTCAATGAAATCTTTTACATTTGCAACGAACCAACAAGTATAGTTTCTGATTTAAGACGACTGAAACCAAACGCATCAGGTCGAACAACAGTAAAACGATTGCAATTTAAAGTATTATTGACTACAAAACAGCCCAATAACACAATCTTACTTAAGACCAAACAAATTTCGCAAATAAGAAGAAACAAATCTAACACATGTATAAACTTACAATTAAATCTATTTTAGAGAGCTCGACGAAGAAAAAAATTTCGGTAAAATGAAAAAACTTATAATAACGATCCCCTTGCCCAATTATGTCGTCGTTTCAATGAAATCTTTTACATTTGCAACGAACCAACAAGTATAGTTTCTGATTTAAGACGACTGAAACCAAACGCATCAGGTCGAACAACAGTAAAACGATTGCAATTTAAAGTATTATTGACTACAAAACAGCCCAATAACACAATCTTACTTAAGACCAAACAAATTTCACAAATAAGTTATATATGTATATATATTCCTTCAAATGGAGATATAAATCGTACTGAAATTTGTGGAAAACTACTACGAAAAAGAAAATCCCTTTATACGTAATCATGCGATGCTACATATTTAGAAATGCACCTATCGTTAGTGCAAACAATGAAAATATTAATACCTATAGAATCATAGATGTTGATGAAAATCTTAATGTTAGTGTCGAAAGATATATGTTATACCGTTGCTACATATGTAAAAGTAAACGGTTTCTAATTGGTGAAATATATTTCTTATTCAATTTTGTATTTTTTTCATTAATAACAAAGTTCATTTTTCCAAAAATTTTTAATAGGGTACAAATAACTTTTCCCCGCGGGGCCACATGCGGCATACCTGATGATGCGCAAATGCGACAAGGCGTTATATGCCCCTTCCTTGCCCTAGGGGGTAACCTCATGGGGCTCACAAGGGGTAGTGAGCTACCCACTTAGAGACCCTACCCTATTTTGATATCTTTTTCATCTTTTGAAAGTGCGATTTGGTGAATGTATATAATTTTGTTTGGTGTTGATTCTTCTTAAGTCATTGAAATTTTATATCTTCTCATGATGTTGTTTAAAATTACCAAATTTAACTTATCTAACATGTAGATGTTGATGATTGATTTAAACGTAAGAAATGGATTATCTTTGAAATAGGTACATTGAATGTAGGGAGTTAAAATGAAAATTAATTGTTCGAGAAAGAACCCGAGTCAAAAAATTGGGACTCATTTTGTCCTCATTTGATCTCAATAGAATTTTTAGGGATATTTCAAACTACAAGACTCAAAAGTCTCATTTTATCCGCGGTTTTCCCGTATCAGGACAAAATGAGACTTTTGAGGAGTAAAGATTATTTAGGAAACCTCATTTTGTCTTCAAAAAGTCTCATTCTTTTCTTGTTGAGGTTAAATTGAGAATAAAATGAGACTTTTTAGAATCCAATGTGATGAGTCTTATGAAAACTTATTGAGGTATCTGAGATTAAAAACGTCTAAATAAGGAAAAAATGAGTCTAAATAGTTCATTTGAGGATAAAATGAGTCCCAATTTTTCGACTCGGGAACTTACAGAACTTTAATTTTTCAACATTCGCTCTTAGGTATACTGTAGCATTAATTTATTGTCCTTAAGTGAGTTTATAAAAAAAAGTCGATTATTATCTGATACTTGCAAGGAATACAATTTGGTTCAATTAAATAGGCGTCATTCATTTATTACATAACATGATTTAGGGAGCGAGAGGTGTCGACCATGTCTTATTTTTCCTTAGAGGGAGTGAGGAGATTCTTGATAGTTCTTACGTAAACCCACAAAAATGGGCAAAGTTAAAATTATTATTAGAGATGTTCCAGTGGCAGATCCACTTTCCGAGTGGTTTTTGAGCCCCTGGACTGAAAATCTTATGTAGGTAAATATTAATAATTAACACCAAAGTTTATTACTATCAAGAAATAAAAATTACCACTATATCTTTGTAAGTACAAATAAACATTCCTAGCAATTGTTACTTTGAAAAATAAACGTTAGAACAAACCGAATGTGTATCTATTAATTTTTTCCTTTAGATTCTTATGTGATAATTTTTTGTACACACATATCCAGGGATACAGAAAATGGCATAGGGTACTTTTTATCCTGAAAAAATACTGTTCCCAAGGGATAGAAAAATTTGTTTTATGTGTTCCTCGATGATATTTGACACGTATTTAAGATAACAACGAAAGCGTAACCGTGGGTAAAAGCTAGACTAGATATCAACGAGTAGGTATCAACCAACCTTTTGCCTTGGGCTAATTGACTTTCTACTTGGGGTAGGTTGACCTATGAAGTACTTAGTACAAAATATAGGGATAAAGAGGTTAAAAAATATAACAACTATTTGCAATTATCAATTTTATTATTGAAACAGAAACGTCGATCCTGAAAATTAAGATAAGCATAAACATCAAAAGGGAATAAACAATCAGATAGTTAAACACCAAAACAAAATACTCTTGGCTTTAAGTATCGGAAACAAAACTTGAAAACCTCTTACTGCTTCAATTACTTGGTAACAAACAGTCTTAACTACGATAACATATCTACCTTCCAATAATCGTCAAGAGATAGATTCAAACGTTTCATGTTGTCGAAAAACAACATTATTTTTTCTGAACGATGTAACTAAGGATACACTCGTAGCTTGAGGAAATCATATAGAGCGGGGAGGATGAAGTTTTAGGAAACTTCCTGATTAATTGTAAATGGTCAACCAGCCCCGAAATAAATTGGCCTACCAGCCCTCTATCGCTTTTTAATTTTTTAGCACACAGCATAATCTCAAAACCGAGGTGAAACCGAAAAGAACAATACGTAATAAAAAGATTCACAATCAAACTCTTACTCTAAATCATAAATAAATCATATGTTCCTTCTCCCAAACGACCGTGTTCCCGGTGTACTATCCCCTAGTACTCTTTTCTTATAAGGCCCTAAAACTTTTCCAATATAGTTCACTTATTAAAAAAAAATCCACAGACTGTAAAAGTCCCAAAATTCATCATATTTGTTTCTGAAATCGTAAGTTAAAAAGACAAAGAATGATTTGTAAACTATTGGTAGTTAAATTTGATATCTAATAGCATCACTGGTTCATAGTGGCAGTGTAGTGGCTAATAATTCATTAGATATTGTGAATTTATCTCCTTATTCCATTATTTTTTTTTATGGTATTCATTAAATGTGATGCCAAATTTTTTTTAGTTTGATTTGCTTTGGGAAAACGCTTGTTAAATATTTTTTAAATGATGAAAGTTTGAAAAATGTTAATCGAATAAGGTATAAAAAAGTCACGTATCATTTTTACCTATTAACTTTGAAACATAACATTGCAATTATTAAACTTAGTTACTAAGAAAATATACTTAATTAAAAAATACATCGGTTGATTCATTCAAGTTGAAACATTTAAAGCGTTGTATTAATAATTTATCTACCCCTTGTTAATGTATGTTTCAATTATTTGGAGGCCCAAGGAAATTGGATTGATTGAATCATTACAATCACTAAACCGTAAATGTTTGAAGTATGTAGGGTTGCCACCCGTACTTTATTATAAAGTATTGTACTCTATTTGTTCTGTACGTACGTTATATTTTACAAGACATATAAAATACGCAAAAATACTTTATTTAAGGCCTTAAGTAAACATCGTAATTTTGTAAGCGATTATTCGAAATTCAGAGTATTTTTAAATCAATAATANCATTTGTATAAATAAAGCATAAATTAAATATTACTTTAGTATTCAATAACTATAAGTATGCATAACTAATCAATTCTCTTAAAAAGAAATTTTTGGATGGATAAGTCATTTCTATAAACTTTTAATTTACAGTTCCATTTTCTGTAATTAATCGGGCTTCACATGAGAGCAAGATTTTTCTTGTTTTGAAAAATATTATGGGCGATACCGAGATCACATACACCGCAACCCGAAAGTCTGGTTTTTGGTCTCGTTAAATTTTTATTCGAAAAATTCAAAAAGGTCTATAAAGAACAACACGAGTCTCTCGTAGAAAGACTGGGTTCTCTGAAATATGTTGAACTTGAACCATGTTTATCGAGACACCACTTATTGAGAGATTCGAGTCTCTCGTTCAGAAATTCGAGTCTCTCGTTCAGAGACTGAATACGAAATGAGGATCTCTATGCGCGACTCGAGTCGAATAGGTCCAATCTATTGTTTGCCTGTTTATAAAATTGTTAATAGAGTAGTTGTTTGTAGAGAGATCTTGGCTTTAGCGAATTTTTACGTATCCCACAGGACTTTTAGATGAAATATTATTATTTTCATATTGAATATTATGGGTTTTGTCCGATTATTATTAATAGAACTGTGAGAGTGCATAATATGAACTCCAATTGATTTGAATTATTTTGTACTTCCAATGCTTCAGTAAAGAATATTGTTTAAATATGACTAACTTTGTCAACTTAGTGGCATTGGCTTGTCAAAACTGGTCAATCTTCAAATGGCTCTAACATTTAGTCAATTTAGTCCAGTACTGGGCAGCCAAGTATAGGTTTGACGATATTGGACCAATTTTCAGTCAATATTCAAGTGCCAAAGTTCAGTACAGTGACGTTTCGTCAGGTTATGTCGAATATTGGTCAATCAGTACCGTACCGAGTTTAAACCAAATCCCAAACAAATGATAAAAGAAAATTGTACTTTTGAAGGAGATAATAAATGTGAAGTGTTTCAATATCCACCTCCATCAACAGCTATTGGTGTCGTAAAAATCAATAATTTTGCAAAAAATTAACATCGCAGAACGTTTCAAAAATTTTCGTTCATTGGTATTGACATTACCTATCCTAATTTTGGCAACCAGCCTTGGGCCTAACTGACCAACCAAGCATTTGGTATGCTTGGTCCAATATGAGAGGTCAAGCTCAGACCAAGCTTGGTCCAGTTGTGACTTAATACATGGGATCATCGAAACATATACCCAAAAATAGTAATTGACGAGCGATCTTCTCTAAAAGTTTCAGTAAATGAAAACAGTAACTAAAATTCTCCTTACTTATTCATATGCTGCGTAATTACAAATCCTTCGAGAACATCTGCATTAAGGTCGTTTGGAGTTTCGTAACCAACAGATCTGGCTGCTGCGAGAATGTCTTGAGCTATAGGTGGTGCATAAGGAAACCTTTCAACTCTCAACGGACCCCCAACTCCGTGATACTCAGTGCTTGTTAAGGTACCAATATTACCATTGTCTTCCGATTTAATAAAATATGGTAGAACATCGTCGTAGCTCCATCCTGTGTTACCCAATTCGGCCCAATAATCGTAATCTCTCGGTACCCCACGCATATATGTCATTCCATTTACAACCCCGCACCCTCCAAGTGCTTTTGCTCGGGCATAGCTACATTGGTTGTTTTGGTTTTGACGACAGGCGTTCGCTTGACGTTCTGTAGGATAGGAGAGGGTTACATCACTGTTTCCCAGGAAACTGAAAGCAAAACTGGGTACTTGGCTTCCTACAGGTTCATCATTGCCCTGTTCTATAAGCAGAACTTTCCAATGCGGGTTTTCACTGAGTCTTCCAGCTACTACTGACCCTGCACCACCACCCCCTACTACTATAAAGTCGTATGAGTTATCAGGATTTAAAGTTGGCCTTATTCTTCCGCACACGTCCGAGATATCACATTGATTTCGAAGAAGATTATTGACAAGAGTCATAAACATAACTGATGATGCTACATTGCACGAAACGTTTTGGAGAGGGAGACCATAAAAAGGGTTTGTACAGTTACAAGCCATATTCGTGATTTTTTTGTAATTTTGTTACCTAAAAGAGATTGGCCTGTTTATAATAATTGTTTGTAAAAAAAAAGACTTTTAATATTTTTCTCTTCCACTGCAATCTTTTCCTTTCAGAATGTTATTTAATTGTCCTTTTGTACTTACCCAGAAAGTGCAATATCTATTTAGACTTGCATTTGAAATTTCACTTCGGCAATACAAAACGAAAACTACTTGGAAACTGGAAACTGATCTTTTATATTGATGCTGTTTTTTTGAATTCCCTCCCAAATGAAAAATATCTTATCTGCCATTTGATATACACGTGTTAGTTAAATTAACCAGACGAAAAAAAGTAATGTCGCGTATTCCTGACAACAGGCAACACTTTTTATGAATTTGACTTAAGGTGTGAAAAATCCTAAGACGAACATATAAAACACATGTTCTGGCAATGTTCGACTGTATTTATTAGCAAAGTCTTCCTAGAGCATCGGTCAACAACTGGTGACCTGCGGAAGGTAAAAAACTGGACCGCCAAAAATTTTTTGAAAGTAAATTACTGAAATATGTTACTTAAAAAATATTTTCTGAAGGTAGCAAAGTATGTTAGCTTTGGGCGCCACCCTTATCGTTTTTTAGAGGAACGAATAAGTACCTATGTTCTTTCTGAACCACGATAAAAATTTTTAAAAACATCCGGACCCCACCTAAAATTACTTGCCGACCCCTGTTCTAAAGTGCAGTTATTCCTGCACTACTCTAACTTTTGTATGCGTTTCTTAAAAAACTATTTGTAAAGACACACTTCAGTTTCGACGCTAAAATTTTGGTATATGGCGAATGCGAAAGCAATTCAAAGATTAATTCATACAATTTATGCATTGTAACCAACGATTTGTGACATGCTGCAATGTCTTGACGATGAAGCATTTTTTTTCTTCACTGGGGGCCGTTTTCTCGCATTTTCTTCTTCCATCCAATAACGACATACTTATAATATTCGCTGTTAATGATCTGAAAATATTTCATAGCTTGTAAAACCATGTTCATCCAGAATTACGGACCCTTTGTGTAGGGATGAATCCATGTTTCATCTATTGTCATATACCGCATGAAAAAATTTTTATTTCCCTTAGAGAGTACGTCAGTCATTAACACGTTGTCGTTTTTAGCGAATTCACATGCAAGATATGATATGAAGGTATGTACATTGTATATTGTACACGCTCTCTTAATATCTACTCTCAGCTATCTCACGCTTTTCCACTTTACAGTTTTTTAAAATGATTTCGTGGATTTTTATAAGAGCAACGTTTTTTTTTGGCGTAACAACCTCATTTTGGCGCCTGGTGTCCTGCATCACTTTCGTTTATACGAACACGTTCAAATTAAGTAAAAAATGTTACTTTCAATAAAACATATTCGTTATAACACTTTTCTTTTTTCTCATGAAATAATAAAACATTACTCTCCAGTAATTGTTAATAAGTACCTAACCCTAAGACAGATAAAACTTTCTGAGGAAAGTATACTTCTCAAAAATTAAATGTAAAAACCTATTTATACATAGTCATAAAGGTAATTTAAGGTTCTTTAATTTTTATTTTAAGTGCNTCTGGTCGCACATTCCCAGAAAGCATCGCTACCAAATTGATAAAGAGATGAGCAGTTTCCATGTGGATTCCGCACCAATTCAGAACCGTACTTTTGTTTTAAAATGTCGGCATTTCCCACTCTAATGGCCGTTTTTATTCCGGAAACTAAAGCTTGAACGTCGTAATCCTCTTGTAAATAGTTGGGCTGTACAATCAGCCTTCCACTTGGATTATTCGAACTCAGCTTAATGTAACCCCTGCTCTTTGCTCTTACTAACGTTACTTGAAAGGTAATCAATCTTGTGTTATTTGGCTGATTGGGATCGGCTGGCAAATTGGCCGAACCATTGCCATAAGCACAGGTGGCACTGTAACCAGCAAAATAAATCTGCATGTCCGGCCAATTTTGTTCCTGGTTTACAGACGATGAAAATCGAGCGCCAACTTGTGCGAGCCCCGTAGAGGACAAAGGACCTCTATGTTGACTTAAATATTGATTTACGGCGTCCCTTGTCAGCAGATTGGTATCCGGAACTTTTGTCAAGTTGAACCGTACAAATAATGAAACGTGATTTTGGAAATTTTGACCGACACCTGGAAGGTCTCGAACCACAGTAACGTTCACATCTTCTAAATCAGCTCTTGGACCAATACCAGACAATAGAAGTAACTGAGGAGAACCGATAGTTCCACCTGATACTACTACTTCTTTTGTAACGCTGACATTGTAACGTCGGCCGTTATAAGAGAATTCCACAGAGCTGGCCACAGCTAATCCGTTTCTTTGTGAAAAATTAATTTTTGTAGCTGTGGAGTTCAACATTATATGAAGGTTTGGTCGGGCTCTTGCCGAACGAAGATAAGCTCGAGCTGTGCTGTCCCGAGTACCATTTCTAAATAAATGAGCNAAGTAAATTACTGAAATATGTTACTTAAAAAATATTTTCTGAAGGTAGCAAAGTATGTTAGCTTTGGGCGCCACCCTTATCGTTTTTTAGAGGAACGAATAAGTACCTATGTTCTTTCTGAACCACGATAAAAATTTTTAAAAACATCCGGACCCCACCTAAAATTACTTGCCGACCCCTGTTCTAAAGTGCAGTTATTCCTGCACTACTCTAACTTTTGTATGCGTTTCTTAAAAAACTATTTGTAAAGACACACTTCAGTTTCGACGCTAAAATTTTGGTATATGGCGAATGCGAAAGCAATTCAAAAATTAATTCATACAATTTAGGCATTGTAACCAACGATTTGTGACATGCTGCAATGTCTTGACGATGAAGCATTTTTTTTCTTCACTGGGGGCCGTTTTCTCGCATTTTCTTCTTCCATCCAATAACGACATACTTATAATATTCGCTGTTAATGATCTGAAAATATTTCATAGCTTGTAAAACCATGTTCATCCAGAATTACGGACCCTTTGTGTAGGGATGAATCCATGTTTCATCTATTGTCATATACCGCATGAAAAAATTTTTATTTCCCTTAGAGAGTACGTCAGTCATTAACACGTTGTCGTTTTTAGCGAATTCACATGCAAGATATGATATGAAGGTATGTACATTGTATATTGTACACGCTCTCTTAATATCTACTCTCAGCTATCTCACGCTTTTCCACTTTACAGTTTTTTAAAATGATTTCGTGGATTTTTATAAGAGCAACGTTTTTTTTTGGCGTAACAACCTCATTTTGGCGCCTGGTGTCCTGCATCACTTTCGTTTATACGAACACGTTCAAATTAAGTAAAAAATGTTACTTTCAATAAAACATATTCGTTATAACACTTTTCTTTTTTCTCATGAAATAATAAAACATTACTCTCCAGTAATTGTTAATAAGTACCTAACCCTAAGACAGATAAAACTTTCTGAGGAAAGTATACTTCTCAAAAATTAAATGTAAAAACCTATTTATACATAGTCATAAAGGTAATTTAAGGTTCTTTAATTTTTATTTTAAGTGCAATCATCAATTCAACTAAAGACCGTTGTTTTCCTATTACTATTTCATTTGCTATATACTTGAAATTAAATTGGTCCATCAATTCATTAATAATAATCTTTGGCAGAGCAATGAGAAGGAGAATTTAAATGTTTTAAGCCCCGTGGTAACTGGGAAATTTTCTCGATTAAGTTGTAATTTCAGGAAAATCATTATCGTCAGGAAAATAAAAAACAATTACTATCAGATACAGATAGCACAGCAGTAGAAACAACTAGCAAATAGATTGTAAAGTTGATTGTACCTATCTCATTCCATTGATTGTTTCGTAACAACACCCAACTACATTCATATAATTTTCCTCAGTAAATGAAAACAATGTATACGCCTTTTTATTTTATACTACCTTTTAACCCACCATTTCGCCCAGTAAAACAAAATTCCCGTGGCAATTGGTTCAGCCGTTTCGGAGATTAACCATTACGGACAAACTGACAAAGAGACAAACATTTTTTGAGACTCGTTTGTGTCTTGATGGCATACAAATGATTACATGAATTTAAAAACCATCAATTGTAGTACATTTCCACATTATAATATGAACAATACTTTTGTATAAAGAGTAAAAAAGTTTCAAACTTCCTAACTCAGCGGTTTAGGTTTTACCTTGTTTGATACATCAAATTTTGAATCCCTTTTTCTAGTAGAAGATCCTTTCTTAGTGCTCTCATACTTTGTAAAATGGAAATGTTTAATAACACTTATTGAGGAAAATTGAGAAAGAAAAATTTTACTTTTCTCAAAATATCTCAAAATAAAAGATAATAATTGATGTAATAACTATGCCAGCGACATGAAATCAATAATACTATTAACGTGTTAAACGAAATATTAATTTCATTCCTTAGACAAAAAAATTCAGTCTCTCAGAGTCTTTCAGCATCTCTGAGAGCGTCTCTCACAGTCTTTCACAGTCTCTCAGTTATTGCCTAGATATTTTTATACATCTCTCACAGTCTCTCTATGAGAGACTCGAATCTCTGAATTAACAATTTTATCGTTCTCATACAGAGACTAGGCAGTAACTGAGAGACTGTGAGAGACGCTCTCAGAGAGGCTGAAAGACTGAAAGACTGGAGAGAGATTGAAAGTTTTTGTCTAGGGATGTCAATAACAAAAATACATATTTTTTTGTAGGATTAAATATAGCAATTAAAGGGTTGAAAACTTTATATGTATAGTGCAAGTGCATCATTAACATCTTTTAGAATTTCAAACATCATGACAATAAACTGAGAGCTCCTAGTAGTAGAGTCCTGAATTACTCATTTAATTAACAGTTAATAAGGAGTCATAATATCTATCTATAGTAGAAAAAAGTATAATTACTTATTTACAGTTACATTGCATCGTTGATAAACATTTTTTTTGCACTTTCTTGCACACAATGTGTGCAAATACGAATTGTAACAGCCGTGAAAATTTACTGCCATGAGTAATGACTATTAAGTAGCAGGTACTTGTTATACGCAATATCTACTTGAAGTTCATTGTTAATTTAATAGGTACATATTTTTTTGAACACAATGTTACAATAAAGGTTAAATATTACACAATTAAAATACTCTTTAGTTTTTTTTAAATTCCAAATTGCAAAGGGTGCTCTATAATTAAAAGAAATGCATACTTTCTTGGTTACGAATATTTTATCCATATACGATTAAGATCAACGATCTAAATTTACATAATGGAAACTCATAGTTCACTTTATAAGTAAAAGTAAATGTTAATTTCCACAAAATATTAAAATACATAATTTCATAGCCTTATTAAACTTCGTCAGAAATCATTAGTATACTTCTGATGAAGCCCTGTCGTTAATAAGGCAAATCAATTGTCAAATGCTTTAGTACATTCTTGTGGAAATTAACATTTGCCTTTTATTTATAAAATGTCATATTATTATAATCAATTGAACCTGTTGATGTTAATAATAATAATAATAGTGCACCATTGTTATAAAATTTTGTACTATTGTTTTCTTGTATGTTTATCAAATGTATTTTTAAAACAAACGTCATTAATATTCAAACAGATGTTTATATAGTTATGGATACATATTTGCTTAAAAATTTGCTTCTGGTATTTGCTAAACACCGACTTTATCTTTACATCAACAATTCCTTGTTGCAAAAACACATTAATAAATTATGCAACACTTTTGATATCTTCTACTAATTTATTTAATAAAAGCATGAGGTGGATTTAAATCGTTTTTAAAAAACTAGGAAACTTTTAAAACATTTGCATTACCTTTTAAATTACATATCTTGTGCAAAGTTGTAAATTATTAATTATCTCATTTGCGTTTTTCAATGACCCCAAGTTGAAGTTCGCCGATTTAGTAGTAATAACGTAGAATGCGAATTTGACTTTTGTATTCTTATAATAAAATTGTTTTACATAAATTATCTGTATGTGTGTGTGTGTTGTTTACTACTTTTAAATTAACATAAGAATTTGCATTTGTAGATTTAATAAAATTTGCAAATCATTGTAAGTATTCAAAAGTAATTATATCTCAGCTTTTACACTATCGTATTTGACGAAACAAGTGTAAGCCACCCTTTAAAAACAGATATATTTTGTGTCAAATAGAAAGTTATCTTTTTGTAAATACACCACGCAAAATTTGGTCCTTAGGCTGTTTTCTGAGATATGGATGATGATAAACATCTGAAAACTATAATAATAGAACAAAAAACAAACTCACCTTGACTGCTTTTTCAACTAGGCAGGTAGCGTTTTTTCAACTAGTTGATTTTTAAAAAGCACTAATTTGTGCGATTACTTGCAAATAAATGAACCCACTATTATTATACTGCACTCTTTCACTCATATATTGTGTAGTTAGTTATCACTAAATCTTACATAAGACTTTTCTTTGTCGACAGTTAATGCTAAATACAACCGCATTAATTTTGTTAGTTTCGCGCATTTATCAATTTAACATTCGATCGTTTAATGACACGATCGTGATGCGATGAAGGATTTCACAACAAAACTACGAACGACAATCGTCCACTACTTTCCACAGCCTGCTGCGGAATGAAACCGGCAGTGAAACTGAATGTTTTTAATGGTTCGAATGTTGAATCCTTGGTGCAATCTCCGTGGTAGAGCTATTTCTGATTTACTGTGCAAATGAGACAAACTCAATATATTTTGTTGCCTTGAGACGGAGTAAGAGAGAGATAAAGAGTCATTAACTATGACGGTAAAATGTTGTTACGTTGTATGTTTGTTATACTTTTACACAGATGAATCGGCAATTTTTTAAAATGGGACTTATCAGTCGAGTCATGAACAAAATGCTTGATGTCTGAAGGACTGATATTTCTGTTTGAATATGCAGATAAGTCGTTTCCCATGTTTACAATGAGATTTAGTTGATTTTAATATTATACTTATTATGTTAAATGAAACTACATATACATACATGTCTATCTACTTGATAGGTAGGTAGGTGATAGCTAGACATGCGTATGCAAATTTATGTAGTTTCAGGATTTCCGAATATCCCACCAATTTATTTTCAGTTCTTGTTATCATTTAACATGTTCAATTTTAAATAGGCATTTAAAAGTCAATTTGATTTAAAGTTTTACTTTCAATGAGTACCGATCCATCGTGAGAGCTATTTACATAGAATAAGTAGCAATTTTTTTAAATTTAATGTTTTTAAATGAAAAATTGCGGAAGACTTAGAAAACGAATAGAAAAGTCTAATTAAAAGTCATCCATTTGTGGAAAATATATTTTGTTTTCATTTATTGTTTATTAAATCTACGGTAAATGTCTAGATGATGGTTGGGTGGGATCGAAAGAGGAAGTCTCCCCCACCACTGTACCATAAAAAGTTCGTGACGATCTCACCCCCATAAAAAGTTATGGGAGTTGAAAGTTGATTATTTTGACAATTTACATACACTATTATTCAAATAAAATTCAATAGAAAAAATATTTTCAAGCGGGTGGAGGTGGGGGATCGAAAGAGGGTGGTCACTTGAACAAAACCCGATAACCTAACCTAACCTTCCCTATTGATAAAGATATTTAAATAATGTTTTATATAACTTTCACAATATTTTTATGTATTTTTCATTAGTTTTACCTTTAAATATTGTTTAAGAATGACTATATAAATATTTACATGCCTAGAAATGTATAAAAATTGGCATATTTATTAACTTTGAACCCCCATAACTTTTTATGGG